GGAAAGAACGATTTAGTTGAACCAGCAAAGGAAGTCTTGAAAGAGAAAACAGAAGAAGCAACAGTCTCAACGCCTGCTTCTGAGTTGCCAAAGAGAACAAATACTATCCGCCGGAGAACACCTCCAAGCAAGTCGATGACTAGTGACATACTTAAAGTGAAAGACAGCATATCTGTTGAATCACAAATAGTTCCAACCACTCCTGTAATCATCACAGAACGGAAGGATGAATGCAAGATAGCCCGACCCACTCCTGTAACCACAAAAGAGCAAGAAGATGAATCCAAGACAGTTTCGCCAACCACCAGCATACGAACCTCTTTAAACTTTGGTGGCTCCCTAGATCGTGCCGTGACATCTAGGGCGGCCGTAACTCATCGAGAATTCGAAATCGCGGAGATGTCGCCGACAGATCGCGCTTTAGTTGAACGATTTAGACAGAAGAAGCATATTCCTCGACCAAAAGTTCTTCCACATGCGTCACTTCCTTCTCCTCCAATAACTCCAACGGCACCGGCCAGTCAACTTCCCGTGCCAAAACAGGCAGAATTTATGCGTTTCCCTACGCCACCACGTATACCTCTGCAGACAGCTCGACAATCGTCGCCAGGCGCTGCTGAAATTTGCTTGAAAAGGGTGTACCGCACAGTAAAGCAGCTATCAACAAAGGAGCATTTCTTGGAGTTTCCGACTTTGAAAAAAGTGGATCACACACCAAAACCTCCATTGAAACTTAGGCGATCTCAAACATGGGCTCCAAGTTGGAGAAGAAGGTAACATTTTTAGAGTTAAGGAATCTCGAAGTAAATTAGATATTTTAGTGCTGCTGACGAAGAAAGTGGAAAGAAGAGCAAAGAATTGGCAGTTGCAAAGGGGTGAGATTAGGTTCACATTTTTTTTCATTGAAATAACATCAAAAGACTTTTGGCTTCAGCGATAAAGTTCTTTGAAGCCATAACGTCATCAGAATAGCCATGAATTTTTTTAAAGGACCGCTTCACTTGTTAGAGCAAAAATTCTGACTTTGATTTAGAGTGATCCCGTTGTTGATTAGTTTGGTGCGGACAACCCAATTATTAGAACATGTCAAGAATAGGTTCCAAATCATTGCATACTGTGCAGACGATAATCCCAAACTGACTGTTTTGCAAAACTGTTATATAAGCTCATGCAACAAGAACCGCTTACATGGATAGTTTTTCTCAGTC